ACACACACACACACACACACACACACACACACACACACACACACACACACACACACACACAGAGAAAGATAATGGCAGGCTCCCCAGTAACAGTGAAGAGCCAAATCGCCATCCCCTCCATCTTTTACTCAGTCTCACTTCCTCATTAAAGTGAATGAACAGTGAACCTCAGCTCTAACCCCTGGCTTAATGCCCATTTTAAAAAGCCTAGGGCATTGTGGGGTCTGCAGGCAGCCATGTAAGATGGACCTGTGCAGCGCAGAAAGATCAGAATTTTCCCCATGTGCCCTCGGCATAGCCACAACAGCGGCTACCTGTGTGCATAAGTTCTTTATTCTTAAAAGGTCATTTAGGTTAGCAAAGCAGCCACATAGACGTGCCTTCAATGTATAAAGTCACAGTTGTACTTCATGCAGTATTAGTTCACCCATCCCTTCAATCATCCAGTTCAGCCAGGCATTCGTTGCCTTCCCTTTTATTTGTATTCCTGTTTGTGTTGCTGCAGGGGATCACTTCACGGTTGCAGGTAATCCCAAAGCAGCTTTAATCTTAGCACCGAAATAAAAGAAGTAGAAGAAAACGAACATTCACAGCAAACCACTTGTTTGATTGCAACACGGAGAAGTCACGTTTTCCTCCTCCGTGACCTTTATGCCGCCGCCGTCATAGTCTTATTTCTCGCACCCTCCCTCAGAGCCACGCTCATTAGTTAGGTTTTTTTTTAACAAGCTCAAGCACACACATATACAAGCGCTTCATGCAGAAAAAGACCTGGTGGCAGTGAAAAACTAAGTTTCTGTACGGGAGCATTACACCAGCTCAGCCTGCAGGATCTCATTATCAGAAAGCTAATAACCCCAAGTGTCATGGTGAAGCTTAACTTCTGCAGCAAGTGTTTCCAGCACAAATTGTCTCCATTTGTGATCTTGTGATTGCAGGTGACAGCATCTCATTAAGTAAATATAAAAAGTGACTTTGTCTTCCATTGGAGGGACATTATGAGAGAGATTTACAAGATTTATATCAGCAAAGTGAAACAACTTCAGTGATCATACGGTGACTGGTGTTTTAGGATACACGTATGCTTTCAGCACCACTATAAATTATGCAGCCTAATATTTGATCCCAGTAATCCCTGACTTTTCCTAGAGCTAACTGGTGCTTGTTATGTAGCTGCTGGCTTGTATTTTCGCCTTATCTCAAAGCTTCCAACTGCTCAATTTCTCACTCCAGCAGCCCCAAACCGTGTCAGGAGACTCTATTACCAAAAGTCTCAGGAAAAAAAATGAAAAATTGGATGAAAATATGCACATTTCATCTTTCTACATGTTCTGCTCAGCTAGGTGATGTTACAGATTCAGACTTTTCTTTACCCCAGTTGAGGCGAAACCTTTACAATTTGCTGTAGCCCGATCGCCGCACAGCTACACGCCAGAGTTTCAGTCGCCCGGGCGATTCTGCAGCGTCTTAATTAGGCTAGATTCTTCTCACAGGCAGCTGCTAGCCTGGTGAGCTGTACAGCTGTACTTTTACAAAAATAATCTTGCAGTTCACAAGTACATCTCCCACTTGTAACAAAAAGAAGATGAATAGTATTACTTAATTCAACTTCTTCATTTTCTTCGTTCGTTTGTGTGGCTCTTCCCACTGCTCCCCCCTCCACCCCACCTCACCATATTTCACCCTCCTTCGTTCTCACCCCCCTTTCTCTTCCTTTCACCCAGTCTCTTCTCCATCTGCGCTTTTCTTCCTTATTGCCGTCTATCCTCTCTGTGACTTCTCTCATTTTCCCCCTCTTTACCAAACCCAACTGTCTTCCCACACATTTCACCGATATCTTCACCTCTGTAAGTCCTATCAGTTGGCCGGTCCCACTTCCATAAAGTTATTTTTAAAGCAGCGTCTTCGGTAAAAGCTTTCTAGCTTTGAGCTGTTTTATTGCCTGAAATGACAAAAGTGCAAGTTTTGTTCATCAAGACAGAACTTTCTATGACTGCTTTTCTTCAGAAAGTCTTAGAAGCGACAGACAGATGTTTGAGCTCTGGTCACGTGGCTAACTGGTCAGTTTCAGTGCAGAACAACATCAAATACAGTAAAACCACATGGAAAGCAGATAGTAGTCATTTATTTGGTAGGGTGACATTCAATTACAACAGGACCAACAATCAATAAGGAAATAATCAGCTCTGCTTGGTTAACGATAACTGTAATATTTTTAAAGGTCTAATGGCAAAGCTTCAAAATTTGTTCACCTTTTACACTGCCTATGATGCTGACTTCGCTGGCTGGCTAGCTAGCTAAGAGTTGATGGCTATGACGCGCAGAATTATGCAAGAGGAAATTGCCTGACAAGCCTGCAGTGCCTATAAAACCTATATATGATTGATTTCGCATTGTTCTTCAAACCAACTCCTGTCTCAACATCTGTTTCCTCCTCTTACCTTTCAGTTTGTCCCGTTCAGGGACTACATCGATCGTACGGGGAACCACATCCTAAGCATGGCCCGGCTCGCCAAAGATGTCTTGGCTGAGATTCCAGACCAGTTCCTCTCCTACATGCGGACCCGCGGGATAAAGCCTTCACCGGCGCCGCCTCCATACACACCACCTGGGCAACCCATCCAAACCCAGATCTGAGGAGCAAGGCTGGAAAAGGTTTTGGAGTCAGGGGTTCGCTGAACTTGTCACGCGAAATACTTCCATTTCCTTAAAGCCGCTCTCCATGCCTTGTGGTTGTGGATCACAGTGGTCTTTCATGTGTTCAGAAAGCTGCATGCCGGGCCAGGAGAGTGACGCTTTTGAGGGCAGGAAAAGAAGATGAGAGTCTGTTTACTTCCACTGTCAAGCATTCCTGTCATTGTTTGGATTTTTTTTTTTACCTGCTTATTTTATGCTTGGAAAGATTTTGGAGAAAGTTCAGAGAGTCTCAATTCAAATTGTGGCAGAAATAAAAAAAAAGGAAAAGCAGTATAAAATGGCTGATCTTACTTTTTAAAGAGAATGTCTCCAGACAAATGAAGGAGTTACATGATCTTAAATGAGCAGTAATTTCACTTGTAAATAACTGGACATATATAACTTCTTTCTTTCTCTTTCTCTCCAAATCACTCATTGTTTACAGTAAATGCTAACGAGGATTTTTACTGTTGATACTTTTATATAGTTTCAATATGAAGCTTGTAATACTCTCTTTCTTTCTTTCTCTCTCCTGGCATCCATGCCAGGTAGCAGCAGTGCAGGTCCTGGTAGCCCTTCTGTACCGTACTGTACTGTGCTGTACTGTACCGTACTGTATTCTAGTGTTTGTATTAAACTTTTGCATGAGTGTAGCCTCAGTCAACTGCATGCATATAGTGGCCCTGCACTACCTCTTTTATCCATCTGTCTGTCTGTGGGGGATGAGTGTCTGTCTGCCAGTATCTTCATTCGTCTGTCTTCTTCAGCCTTATCTTTCCATCTCTCTCAATCCTTTCTTTTCTACATTTGTCACTTTTAGCTGTCTTTCCATCCAGCCTTCTTTTTTAGCTAGTTTAATTGAAAAAGTCAGAATTTTATGCTAATCAGAAATAAGAAGGGTTTTATTTAGTTATTTTTTATTTTTATTTATTTTTTGTTCAAGTACTATAATGACCTTCATACAGGATTTAACTTGACTGGAAATTATTTAAAAAACCTAGACTCTCTGTTCATCCTAAAGAAATGTAAGCTAAATATTCAAGGAACAGCACAGTTGGTTAGCTAGCACACGTCATTGATAAAGATTGAAAACTCCCATATTAATGTGTAACGTTGTTATACATTTAAAGTCACAAGAAAAAGAAAAAAGTATCATTAAAAACAAATATTTACCACAAATTAGTGACTGTTAATATGCTTACACGCCAAGGCAGTGAGCATCGCAAATAGCTTAATTGCTAGCCATTAGCATGCTAGCATTATCGTTGTGAACATGCTAGCAGCCTTAATGTTAGCATTTTAAAAGAATGATCCTGTTAACATGACTGTGAAGTCAACAAAAAATTAAAATGTGGCTAATATTAGTTACATATTCGGTTTTTACATTTTTTGACCCTATTATATTTTACTTTAATCCTCCATCCAAGCTCAATGAAGAGCTTTTTGGCTGTTTATGTAGCACTACTTGAGAGTTGAATGGAAACATGGGTACCCTGTCTCTCTGTGTCTGTCTTTCCGCTACAAACTGCCTTGGCAGTAGGATGCGCACGTGCCCAGGGGTTTTGTCTCATTGTGTTGTCACATATTCCTGCCCAATGTGTAAAACAATAGCAGCTGCTCTCAAACAAAATACTGTTTGAGCAAAAAGAGCCCAGTGGTCAAAAATGCAGAGAAAAACACATTTTCCCTATATTTTTTTCTTTGCGTGGGTGTAGTGTGTTTGTACTTGAGTGCATTTTTATTACACCTTTAGCTTTGATACAGCTTTGTTTTTACGATGTGTATTTATATGTGTTAATCATATGAACGAGGATGACGCATGCGAGTTGTATTCACCGTTTCGACAAGTTTCCAATTTAAAGTCTTCTATTTTTGTCACAAGTGTGTGTGAATGCGGAGATTTGGATTGAGATATGGATGTCGATTGAAATAACCTTTTAAAACAACAGTAGATACAATATTTAAATTAAGTGGGAATGCAACATTTTAATATTCATGTGCTATCTCCATCTCCTTGTAAAAAGGAGTAACCATGAAAGCAACACTAAAAAATAAATAAATAAAAAATTGTAACTGGAATTTTTTACATACTTTGGAATACTTTACATTGCACCGCAGCCTCACGGTATTTTGAGAAATAGTCACAAATTCTTTTGATTTGTGTTTCTGGATACTAATTTTACGGTTGTTTCATGTTCCCCAACAGGACTTTTCACAATATTATTTTCGTATCCAGTGACATATATACAAAACAATTTTCATTTACCAATTTTAAAAGGCAAACGAGTTTGCATTAAAATATAATTGTTACTATGTTGTCTGAACCACAGGTGCTGCAGGCACAAAAGAGTTACATAATTCATACAGTTTATCACTCAAAAAAAAAAAAAACGAAACAAAAGACAATAGTTTGTGTCTAGGAACATGAACAAACTATTTTTTGTGACAATTTTACATTTTGCTGTGAGACTGGTGTGTACATTGCTGCATTTCTTATTGCATTCTCACATTTCTCTTTCTTTTTTACAGTCTTCTCCCATGTATTGTCACCGTAGCAGAAACTCAATTTCGCTGAATTTATCAAATGAATGTGTGTGTGCTGGTTTAGGCTTCTTGTGGCCAACTGCTCAGTTGAAAGCATAAATAAGCATAATAATTCAACATTAAGAGCTCATTGCCTAGACAGGGCACCTCTATGCTCGCTCTATGTCACCTATTCAGTCCCTGCAGAGCAAACAGAGACATAGTTAGCACCTTATCAAACCCTAGGTGGACCTCAAGGTCATCACAGCATGAGACATTGCAAAATCCCAGACTAAGCTGTTGGAGCAGATAGAGTTAGTTTGCTATAGCCAGTTGCTGAAAAACAGAGAAGTTCCCTGAACTACTAGAGCAAGAAACACTCTTTGCAAATACCAGGACTGCCTATAAATACAGCTTTTCATCAGTAGTTGAAACACTACGGTTTAAAAATCTAACCTAGAAGAGTGATAGAGAGGCAAATGTGAATAAACCTTTTCAACAGGTCATTTATATATTTCCATTCTTTTTTTCCTTTCTTTTTTTTTTGCCTTGTCTCTGGTGACAGCTGTGGACCAAGCAATTTAAAAAAACAAAAACAATATTGCTTCTTTAAATTCCACACAAACATCCGCTTGGACTTAAGGTGGAACTGCATGGTTAAAGGTCAAACACACTGTGACCTGTGAATACACTTTTGGCCATATAATTCATACTTAAAAAATACCACCAACAACAAATGTTGTGTAATGGGAATAAATTATAATTTTTTATATCCAAAGTGTCAAAATGTTTTCTAGCAAAAACACTTTTGACCATTATTCAGTGCCAAACAGGGAGATGATGAGTCAGATACTGATTTGATGATCCTAATAGAAGTTGCCCACCTGTTTGATTCCTTGCAGATATGCTACAGGCTGTACATAATACGAGTCTGGACACACATGGATGTAAACTACAACTTGAATTGTTTGCAGACTACAACAACAGCTTGGCTTTAATCCCAATTTCAGTTGGCTGCCCAGATTTAAACCCATGCTATTTGAACAACAAACTACCTCTTGTAGTCACACGTTCATCATTTAAAAACTTTCCAGGTTGGAAAATACATCTGTTCCCTAATTTTAATTTCACCAAATTTCATGAGAAGACCAGCTAATCAGGGCTAAATTGTCAATTATGAGCTGATTTAAATACTTGATGTTGTCACCATAATCTAAAATGTTGTGAAAATCAGGTAATTGTGTCATTTAAATTCCTCATTTATAGTTAAACTTGTTTTTTTTCTCTGATTTTAGGATTTTAGGCCATTTTTCTCGTTGTTTGTTTACTGATGAACAAACAACAAAACCCAACAAAAAGTTGCTGGACCTGGTTTAGTGAAATTCAGGATAGAAACTTTCAACTTTTTAAAATCAAACCAGGTTTGAAACACAGACACTTGAATGTAAAATTGAATTTGAAGCTCTGGAAATTGGAAAACTTGAAATTTTCTTGCTAGACTTTGAAAAAACAGAAAACTAATTAAACCCAAATTCGATCCATTCAATATTTCAAATTAAGCACTACTACTTTTTAGTTTCTTACTTTGGAATAATATGTATGTAAGGATCATATTTTCAGACCTTTCTCAGCTTCCATACAGTTTTACACGGCTCACTAACTTTGACAAGCCTCATGAAGCCACAAGTGTGTATATGTGTGAACACATTTGATGTATACTGCGCGAACGTGAGCGTGTGTTTGTGTGTGTGTGCGCGCGTGTGCCTGTGAGGCGCCTTTTCTAAGCGTGTTTTATTAGATCATGTGAGGTGTTAACACACGTAAGATCTTTGTTTACTAAAGATATCCAAATAATGTATCGTATGCTCGTCATATCTTCTTAATAATGTGCACTATGTTTGCATGTACAGTTTTACAAAGGATGCACCAGTTCCTTTTGTTGAAAACTGAGTGTTTTGAAATATACGAATCTATATGAAAATTAACTGTACAAAATGGCCTTAAATCTTTGACTGATCTTTTTGGAATTGTGCGATGCCTTCTTCTGGAAAATGAACTGTTCAAAGGAACTGATCGTTATCTACTTTGTGTCAGTGTTTCTATTGCTTTCTAGTGTGTTTTCTTTGCACAAGCTCAATAATGGAAAAAAAAATTCTTGTACTTTTTTGAGACCGTGATTAATCAGAGAAAGCATGGTTGAAGTACTGACTGTCTGATAATACATATAACAGATGACTATTTCTGTATTGAACTATTGATTTTTAAATAAATATTCATATTAAACGACATTTTGTGAGTTGTTTTTTTCCCCTCTGAGCCAGTCAAAGG